CGAGGGCGAAGCTGTCTGTCCGAGGGAGGGACCACAATCCGGGTGGGAGGGACAGGTCGTGAAGTTCCCTGAGCTAACCTTTGTCGCTCGTAGTGAGCATAGATCAGCGGTGCGGATGCTTTCAAATCTGCTCCTGAAATCCATCGAGTTTCATCGGGATCGCACGCTTTGAATGTAACTTTGTACTGTCGAGGCTTGCTGCCGTACTTGCGATCCGTGATGACGCGGTCAACTTCCTGATGACCATCCATTGATGGAGGATCTTGCGACCGTCAGCCCGGGAAGTTGTCGCTCTTAGCTGGTGTATATATCGCCAGCTTCGAGGCGTGAAAGACTGGATGGACCATCAGATGCGGGGGAATGTTGATCACAAATGACGGGCCATCGGGCTCATCGCCCGCGGCTGATGTTACGGGCCATGGTCCAAACCACTTGGGGAGTATTTGCGCGCAACATCCTGCTGGAGTGCAAACTCTTCTACAGAGACCCAAACCAGATCACCGGCGCGGATGGGACATGGCACGCGACGCCTATTGGCTTGCTGCTGCATGCGAACTTGAGTCTTTTGCATGTTCTCGCGGGCTTGAGCCAACAATTCCGTGTACTTCCGAACGGAAGTGGGGGAGCAAGCAGCGTCTATGTCGACTATTCGTGGGAGGAGAAGATCAGCGAAGATACGGCCTTTCCGGCCACCGTGGTGCAACTCGAACGAACTGGATGTCGAGGAGGCGGTCAACCCAATCTTTCTGATCCAGAATGAGCGTACGAAGCATCATTTGAGCGGTTTGATGTGCCCGCTCTATTTTCCCGTTCGTTTGTGGATGCCGAGCCGAACTTGGTTTCATCTTCGTGCCGGATTCCTGCATGAGAGAAGTCCGAAATGCCGACATGAAGTGAGTGTCGCGATCGCTGACGATGTCTTCCGGTACGCCGTGGCTGCAAATCCAGCCGGTGTGCAAGAGGCGCGCAAGTTCAGGAGTCATGGCATAGTACTTGCAAGGGAAAAAACACGCGTACTTACTCAAACGGTCAACGACCGTGAGGATGCTGTCGTGCCCGAGGGGGTCGTGGGGAAACGGTCCGGTGACGTCCATGGCAATGGAGAGGCCAGGTTCCCGTGGGATAGGCACCGGGCCCAACTCGTCGTGGGGATTGCGGTTGCGGGGCTTGCTTCGTCGGCAAACTTCGCAAGAGTCGCAATACCGAGTGACATCGATAACGAGGTCGGCCCATCGAAATCGTTGCCGAAGTCGTGCAATAGTGCAATTGACTCCGAAATGGTCGGCGAGTCGCGAGTCATGGTACTCGTCGAGAAGGCGAGTCCGAAGACGACGGTCTCGTGGGACACATAATAAGTCCTTGCCTCGCAAGTGGAGGAGCAAGTACACGTCGACGATACGATAGTGGCTGGCCGACGGGTGATCCGAAGATAGCTGCGCATACAATGTGGCGAAATCCGGATTGAACTCATAGCCCCTGATGAAGTGTCGCTAGTTCCTCGTCAAATGCGAAGGCATGATGTGTCATACCACAAAGATCGGGTCTTCGTGAGAGTGCATCTACTGCGCGATTGGAGAGGCCGACGAGATGCATGATGTGTCATAGTGCAAAGATCGGGTCTTCGTGAGAGTGCATCTGTTGTGCGATTGGAGAGGCCGGCGAGATGTTTCGGTGTGAAGTCAAATTGGTCGATGAAGTACATCCATCGTCCGATTGTACTGCTCACTGTATCCTGCGTCTTGTAGTAGGTCAATGGGTTGTTGTCCGTGACCCATATGAACCTACGACGCCCAAGGAGGAAGTACCGCCATCGCTTGAGAGCCATCACGAACGCGAGCAACTCCTTCCTTGCATCATCAAGTGAATTGATGGGAGGCACTTTGTGGCTGAAATACTTCACGGGGTGCTACATCGCCGTCGTGTTATTCCAAGACTGGCCCAATGTCATAGCCGGAAGTGTCAGTTGTCACTCTCGTTGGCAGGGTGGGGTCGTAGATGGTAAGGACGGGTGCCACGAGCATGGCCATCTCGAGTGCTTGGAATGACCGGCGTGCGTCGTCATCGAATACGAATGGCATCTTTGGCTTGTAGACGAGTACGAATCTATCCAGCATGTCTCAAAACTCCGTTGTCATAGCCGCTTGGAATGTGGTCGGGGCATTCATAAGGCCAAAAGGCATAACCAGCCATTTGAAATGCCCATATCGCGTCTTAAACGCGGTCTTGTAGCGGTCCTCTTCCCGATCTCGAGTTGGTGATATCCCAATTTGAGGTCAAGCTTGGAGAAGAACTTGGCACCGCCCAGTTGTTCGAGGAGGTCGTCGATGCGCGGAAGAGGGCCGACGTTCTTTACGGTTTGCGCATTGAGCTTGCAATAATCAATGCACAACCGCAAGTCCTTGTTCTTCTTCCGAACGAAGAGAACGGGAGCACCATATGGCAAAGAGCTAGGCCGAATCCAGCCTTTCTCGAGAAGGTCGTCGAGTTGTGCCCGTAGCACACTTAACTCTTCCTCGCTCATGCCGTAGATGCAACCACGCGGAGGTACGGCCCCGGCCTCGAGGATGATCTCGTGGTAGATGGGTCGATCCGGTACTACTCCGTGCGGGGCTTCGAACACGTCGCCATAGGCGTCGAGAAGCTCGATGATGCGTTGATCCGGTAATGAGTCGATCGATGGAATGTCATGGGGCGGGAGGGCGTGGAAAAAACACACCCCCATCTCCTCGATGTCATCCCTAATGATGGAAGCTCGAGTGCTTGCGGCAGACACCACGTGGCAGCTGATCAAAGGGTGAGGAGGAGGCACCGTGCATGGGACTAGTACTCCGTTCCGATCACGAACGTGAACGGAGCGGCGGTAGAAGTTCACAAGGTGATCCTCGCTTCGCAGCCATGACATACCCAAGATCATGTCGAAGTTCTCCAAAATATCAAAGGACATGGCCTCGCTTGCATGCGGGGCAAAGTACACGGGGACGACATCAATGCACCGGTCAATTGACTTGTGCGTGTAACCGTCGGCCAACGTGACTTGCGTGGGTTGCAACTTCCTCCGAACGCGTGGCCCAAGGCCAGCACGTACCATAAAGTCTTGGCTCATGTAGTTGCGAGTAGCTCCGCAATCGATCAAAACAATGCAGGTCGCCTCTCCAATTTGAATGCGTATGTATATCAATGGCGCGTCGATGTCGTCTCACCGTTGTGTCTTGAACTCGCGGTCGATCTTTGCAACGTAGTCATGAAGGTCGACAACCTCTACTCCGGCGTCCATCAACGGAGTTGGTACTGCAGTGTGCAAGTAATCCCGCAATTGTGCTATGAGCGCGTTGCAATGCGGTTTCGGCAATCGACCGAACGGGGGAAGGGGCATCCATTGGAAGTCCGCAAACGTCAACGGGTCGAGCTCAAGTTTGGACCATGATGTCCAATCCCCGACGACAAATGGCGGCGAAGCTGCCGAATCGGGTGTCGATGGTGGTGAAACCGTGCATGCGGTGGATTGTTGCACGTGGAGTGGTCGGTCCAACAGTGGGACCAAGTGGACAGCATAATCCTCGTAAGTGAACCGAGGACTTGCGACATTCGCATCCTCCCCAGATGTGTAGGAGGCAGCTAGCAAGGCGGCCGAATCTGGCGGAGTGAGAGGTGGAGTCGCCTCACCTCCCGCGCAGCTCAGTTTCCCAAGTTGTGGTACTGGCTGTCCATTTCCGGCCAGCGATGCAATTTTCACCTTCCCTTTTCCCGGGAGTTGTTGTTGCTTCACGGCTGGACGGTGGCCACCTGATCTCCCTCACATGATGCGTGGGTGGCTGCCGGGTCTTCCACAATGGTGTCCGGTTGGACTGCAGCGACATGCTGTGGACGCGGACCAAATTTTCCCTTCTCCACATGGGCTGGCTGCCACGCTGTCTTCTCGTGTGCAGCAGCCCGGTTGGTCTTGACGAGCTCTCAGAAGGTTCAAAATGCCGGCACTTGAGCTTTTCAATGCTGGCGGCTTCATGCCGCTGTAGCAGATCCTGGGCCTCCTTGCGGCGTGCCTGGGTATCTGCGCGTCTGCTTCGGCCTGAAGCCGCTGCTTTTCAGCTGCTGCCTCTGCTTCAGCCTGTACGTGGGCAGCCTCGGCCGCCGCCTGACGCTTTTCCTCAACCTTGATCAATAGCTTGGAACCGCTGTCGGTACTCCGTAATGGACTCATTGGCCAGTTGGCCTGGCATGCCCAGAACTGAGACCGCCATGGTGGCGAGGCACTGCTGACGTGGCACTGTTGTTGCCGTGGCACTGCTGACATGGCACTGTACCAAACCAGGAATGCAGGCAAAGGGTTGGGTGGGAGGGGAAACGCAGGTAGGTAACCAACCAAACTATCCTTTCCTCCCGGTCCTAATCAACATAATAAAAAATAAAAATAAAAATAAAAGAAGAGGTTCACGCCCCCCTTTGTTTTGTATATCTGTTGATCTGCTATGAGTAATGCATTTCAAAGGGGTACTATGAGCGAGATCTAGGCAAGGTTCCGCAAAGTTTCAGTTTTCAAAAAAAATGTGACCTTGAAAGAAAAAAAATGTGCGCTAAATAAAGTGGACGTTCCACCTTCAGAGAAGAATAATTCCAGTCTCCAAGAATATGACAACCTCTATCGTTATCCTAATATGCCTAGAAAACGAAATGCTAACATCAAAAATCTTCGGCTATGTATGCAAATATCAGAAATTTTCGGATGCTAATATCAGAGAACCGAAATGCTACTATCAGAAATTTTCAGATATTTGCTGCATGAAAACGAAATGCTAATATCAGAAATTTTCAGATAAAACGAAATGCTATTATCAGAAATTTTCAGACATTTGTTGCGAGAAAGGGGAAAAAAAAATTGTAGAGATTTGACGAAGTCCTACTTGATTTACTAATAAACAATCAATCAATCATTCAACAATCAGTAGATCAAGCAAGCTGGCTACTTGATTGGGCGGATCCTCTGATTGAGAGGTCCGCTCCGATACCAAACTGTCGCATACCATAAAGGTGCAGACTAAAACAAGAACCGACCTTTCTCACATAGTACAAGATAGCACAGCGGAAGGCTTAAATACCAATGATCCGAACAATCAACGTTGCCATGCAGACCAGACATACATCATCATCATTCCATGGTGTGAAGGGGCCTGGCGCTCACACAGGAAGAATGCGCCAGTCCCCATCCATACACAGATGAAGAAGAGGGGGCTTAGACGAAGAAGAGGGGAAGATGGAAATGTCGTTAACACCAAGTCTTCGGTACAGGTCCCAAATAATCCCTCATCAAATGTCTGAATCCCAATGTCGAGTCTGGACCCAAATGTCGTCAAGTCCCAAAGTCACCAATCTCTCTCTCTCTCTCTCTCTCTCTCTCTCTCTCTCTCTCTCTCTCTCTCGTAGTCTGCAGATACTGAGAAGTCAGGTAGCAAGAGGGGGAGGAGGAGATGGACTTAGAAGAGGAAGAAGAAGTCCGTTACTAACCTGTGAAGGTGGCGCCTTGTTGCAGGTACATTGAAGATGAAGCTGGAGCTATGGCGCCACAGGTAAGTCTCCCTGGCCTCTGCCAACCATCTCTCTCTCTCCACTACTGCTCTAGCTCCTGATAGCGCCCAGCGCTGAAGACTACTGCTAACGCTACTACTACTACTGCAGCGCTCCTCCAGAGTGCTGCTGCCTAAACCTGAAGACTGACTCCTGCCTCCTGCACGTGAAGTGCCTGGGAAGTTCCTACGAACTACCTCGTGACTGTCTCCGACTGCCTGTAGGGCGGGCCAGTCTTATATAGTGCTGGCCCGTCCAGGAGGCTGCTCTTGCCAATGCCAAAACGTGCCAGACCCTGGCGTTGAAGTTCAACCAAGGGTTGTCTTGAAAACAGGCCAAAAATGGCCTGTGCTAAAACCCTGGTCTGGTGCCTAAGTTTCAGGGCAGGCCGATCTTATGAGGGCTTGAAAATGGCCCTCAGTTTCAGGCTGAAAAGACTTAGGGCCTTCCAGGCCCTGTTTTAGGCTGAAAAGACATAGGGCCTGAAGGCCCTCGTTTTCAGGCTTTCAGGCTGAAACGACACAGGACCTGTAAGCCCTTATTTTCAGGCTTTTAGGCTGAAAACGCTGGTCGGGCCCTGCAGGCCCGTGTGGCTGCGCAGTATGCCACACACACACACACACAGCCCATGCATTCAAACTCTTAAGCCGTGAAGAGCACGCATGTATGTCATTTCGCAGAGATTTGCATGAACTGAAATGGCACACCAACGGGCTGAATTGTCACCTTTCCCATACTAGAAGGTTTCTCACTCCAGCTGACCAACCCTTTTGTCTAGCGGAAGACTATGGTACGCTTGCACAGCACGCAAACCTCCAAACAAGAGCTTAAGAACTCCTGCTTCACAATGACGTGGCCATTCATTCTGCACAGCAGGGTGAGGAAATGTAAAGGATGCAGGATGAAACGGCCATTAAGCAGCGTGTAGAATGGATGGATGATCATTCAGAGGGCAGCGGGGTGGATGTAGACCGTGCTTTCGAAATTGCAGCATTGAAAATTCCCAACGAGTGCAAAGTGCCGTCGAATGGTCATTCCTAGCTCAGTTGGTACACCAATGAGCTGTTGAAATACAGACCTGGGTTCAGATTCCAGTCGAACCAGATGAGTGAAAAACAACTCTTAATTTACATGGGGCCAGTCAGTTCAGAAATGATATCTCAAGGCTGTTGCCCTTTAAAAAGGGGGACGGAATGGTCATTCCATTTTGCACCTATTCTAAAGCAGCCATGCTATTCCGTTCTCCATCCCGCCGCTGAATGGCAGTGCCTGTCGACCATGCCTGGAATTCGCAGCTGAATGGAACTGCACGATTGCATTCCCTCGGCCGTGCTTCAGGGATCTCCAGGCAGATCGACTGTTGGTATAGTTGCAGGCAGTGTACGCGCAGGCGAGGTTCTCGGAGGCATTGCCAATGCCTTCACTTTCCTTTTGAGGAGGGAGGAGGGAGAAGGGGAGGGTGTCCGGACAAGAGGTTCGAAACGAGGGGGATAGTGTGCAGACAGAAGACCTTGTCACCAAACGAGCAACGAGAGCACATAATGGCGGCAACACAAACAAACCATACCAGGGAAGGGAAGGGAAGGAAAGGAAAGGAGGGTACTTTGGTGAGCATTTTCTTGAGACGTACATAACATCTTCTGATGCTCTCTTCTCAGTTTGTTCGGATTTGAAAAGTCGGAGCAAAGTAACTCCCAGTGACTGTGTTATCCAGTTCTTTCTCAGCTGTCGCTTCAAACAACTGGACAGTGCACTACTTCCGGCCGTCAGAGCATGCATGCTCTCTCTTCCCTCTCAAACGCCTCTCTCACCCCAAAAAATTGTTAAGCGAAGTCCAGCAACCCTTGCAACAATTTCCCAACCATGATACAACTCACGTCTTTTGAAATGAACTAGATGATTACAGTGATGGTTTTTCACACACATACTTTTTTGAGACGAACTTGATGAGGCTTTTTACGCATCTTTCCCAGTGAACTTGATGTGGCTATAGTTTCAAACTGGTAATAATAGCAGTCGTACTAACCTGCATATACAAGCCTTAATTGCGGATCCTCGCACATGTTCGCTTGATTTAGCAGCTCGCTGTACTCCATAATCTGTTCACACATATTATCCCAAAACACTCAGTGGCTCTTCCTCTTGTCAGCATTCTGGACAGGTTGTGAACGCAGAGCTTATCCCACCCCGCAAGGCCACTACCATCTTCTCGGGGGAAGCGACATGTGTGTGTTTGCCAGATTCCCACAGTCTTGTCCATTTTCATTCCTTCTTTTCGGGAGGGAAGGGGGAACCTCTTCTCTGATTGTTGCCATAACTAGGAAAAACAAACGCATTCATCCACGGCTGCCTCATCTTCCAAGGGTGCTAACCATCGTCGTCAATGCGGGCAATCATTTCATTCACGCAACATCATTTCTAAACTCTACTATTCAATCAGAGAACTGCTCTGGACAGCTCTGCTTGCTTTGCCTTCTATGTCCACTCTCCAAAAAAAAAGAAAAAAATATATATCACAAAAAGGGAGGAAAAAGAACATTGCACAGCTGGCACATTCAACTAAAGGTCTGGCTGCATGGGCACCACCGAAGTGCTCCATTCATGTGTTTCTTACTGTGATTCTCCAACCCACTGCCCTCAAGGCCTGGCTGGGATATGTATTCGTAGTGCTCCATTCATGTGTTTCTTACTGTGATTCTCCAACCCACTGCCCTCAAGGCCTGGCTGGGATATGTATTCGTTGTTCTCTTCTCCCTCTCTGCCTATGGTTCACCGTGCAGGTCTCAATGACGAAATTCCGGGCCATCAGAGAGAAAGAGGGAAGGGGAATCCACTGCAGTGAAAACAGTTTGCCTTCAATAACAACCAGCCCAACTACAAAGCTTACAACTTCACATAGTTTTATATTTAACTTTATATCCTTATTTTCAACTTGCCACTTTTGTATTTATCAATGATGCGCATTTGGGGACATGTAATTTCACCCCCTTCGCTTTTAGCAAAAGCGATATTATCTCATGCTATATTGCATTTGATTCCTTCTTATATACAGGGCAAGCGGTTCAATTTATATTCTCTAAATAAGATTATTGTGTATATATTATTATATTTGTTATGTATACACTCGTATTTTTTTATACTAATATATTACATATTTTTTCTACAGTAGGTGGAGCCAGTGGCGTAGGCTGCAAAATATTGTGAAGGATGGCATAGGCTGCGAAAGATGCACAGACATTCTTCAAACCTGCATTTCCCACCTTCACTTACGGTGGGCACGGGGCTTGTGGGGGGGGGGCCTTGGGCTGTCGGCGGCCGCCGCCTAGAGCCCACCGCGGCTCAATCCTCGCAGAAGACCTTCCCAAAAGAATATTCATAACTCGTAATATTACTGTTATCTTGTAGTCATAAAAAAAGAAAAGGTAAGCTCGGAAATAAATACATAACATAATTCCTTGATGAGTGCAGAATATTGTAGGCAAACAACCCACAAAGTGGACTGACAAAACGGCATATTCTCTTTCCCCTTCGACCCAGTCCCATGACTGACCTCCGCCATTTTCTGCAGCGTTGTCATTGGCTCGACAATCACGACTGGAAGCGTCACCAGAGACGTTACATCTGCACCGACGTATTTCGACATCATAGTCCAGTAGTGCTCCCTCTCCTGCAACAAACATGGCACACACACACACACACAAACACACACGCGCACACATACACACACACAAACACACACACACACACAGGCACACGCACAAATGCACATTCACCGTCAGATTTTGGTGGAAAGATCACCAGAAGCTGGAAAAAATAGAGGAAAAAAATGCCCGATGCGCACGGGTTAAGCAACAGCGAGCAATTTATAGCACGTCTATTCAGCTTAAGCCGTGCATGCATCCAAAAGTACGGAGGGAGCACATACTTTTGGATGGCTCCGTCCGTACTTTTGGATGGGAGTGAGGGGTGGTGGCCCAGAAAACTAACCTCGAGGTTCGAGCCAGGGAGCCACACGAATCGCTGCACAAGAATCTGACACAGGGGTCCCGGAGGGGCCGGGGGGGAGGGGGGGGGAGGATGGACACAAAGCAATTGATTGCAATCAGGATCCGGTTGCCATCTCATACCCAAAAACCAACTTCAGGAAAATCACCTTGCGTCAATCCGATAATCGCACAACCCACTGACATATCAGACTTGGAACACTGGACCTGCTATCAGACTTGGAACACTGGACCTGCTACCTTCTTCCAACAAATAGAATGCGAGGTTGTTTTACAGGTATCTAGACTGAAAGTCGCCCCAAATTCGGGGGAAGACGGTAGTTCTGTTAACCATGCACTCGCCTCATAGACACTAGCGTGACCATTGGCCATTCAGGCACGAGGGAAGACGTATTTCCTTGCTCCATTCCACTATTCTATTCAAGTCGATGACCCCCAAGATGATTATTATTAGTAATTTACTATTCCATTCCACATCAGCGTTCGAACAGCTGACCTCCTACTTGTTTTAACCATGCCCTTACCTCATGAGATACTTCTATGATCATCGCCGTTCACGCATCAGCATGACCAGGGGAGACGTATTTCTTCTACCATTCCCTTACGCAACCACCACAACTGTTTTGCAGAGATTAGATGCCAAAAGCCCACAGTACTGTACAAGTAGATATGCTCTCAACGCGCCACAAATCGAGAATAAACAATGACCAGCGTATCCCAGTGGTATATTAAGCTATAGCCAAGACACGCATTGCGAAGAATGGCATATAGCAAAAGACCAGCCTACAGCAAAATATCGCATATCTTGTCCTGCGTGGTCTTGTCCCGTTGTTTGGCCTTTGACGAGCGGGCGGTGCTTGCATGTGGGACTTGTCATCTGGGATCTGTCTTGTTTCCCTCTGTTCTATTTGTTTCATTTGGCTGTTCCCTTCCTCTCTTCTTTGCCTCTTTGCCTTTTGGCTGTGTGCAAGTGGGTCGATATGACACACGGGGGTGGGGGCAGCCGCCGCTCAACCTACATCCACGTGGGCGGCCTTGTACGCAAGAGGTTCTGAACAGGGGGAGTTGTAAGGAAGAAGATTAAAAACGAATTTAAGATTTCTTTGTTTTTTTGGTTTTTTCGATTAGGCGCTCTGATATCATGTGACAATATATAGGAAGCATAGCATATAGCAACGACTAGCATACAGGGTATAGCGTATAATAATACCATACATAGCAAAGAATATCATACAGAGAACAGCGTTGCCATAATCGTCAGATGGAGAAAGCACAGATGACCGGCGGAACCCACGTATTGCGCTATAGCCAAGAATAGGATACACCAAAGAATAGCAAAAAAACATATAGCAAAGAATAGCATACATGAAAGAATAGCATGAGGCGTGGGCACCCCCATTTTGCCGAGCACTTTTAAGGGCTATGAATCCGGTCCGCATTTCAAACCCGCATATGCAATGTACCTTCAGTGTAGCAAACCCGTAACGCAGGAAGCAATGACCCTTACTACAGCACTCAGAACAAGAGACCGAAGCTTCCTCTGTCTCTCCTTCAAGTGTAGCTCCAATCGATCGCCATCTGTGGATTCGTGACACGTGACAATCTGTAGGAAGCTTTCTCAGTAACTGAGCGCTGCGATTGAAGGCTTCCTGCCACATGAGAATCTGTAGGCCGCTTTCTCAATGACTGCGCGCGGCGATTGAATGCCATCTGTAGATTCGTACCACGTGGCAGCCAGTGCTCAACCTTCTCAGTACAGCGCGTTGAGCCACGTGAACGCCATCTGAGCCACGTGGCAGTCTGTACTAAGCTTCTCAGGAACTAAGCGCTGCGACTGAACTCGATCTGTAGATTCCTGCCACGTGGCAGTCTGTACTAAGCTTTCTCAGTGATTACTGAGCGCTGCGATTTTGTCTGTAGATTACTGCCACGTGACAGTGTGTAGTAAGGTTTTTTCTGCGAATTGAATGGCAGTGCCATCTTTCGAAAATCAGCTATCACAAGTACAAAACGTGTAGGTCATCGCTCCTTCAATGAAATGACGGTGGCACCCAAATATGCAACAGCACCCTACCTAATAGACACAGGAAATTTCTGCCCCGCGCGAGTTCTCTCGAGGAGTTTCTCCCAAACACACTGTCGAATTGTACACTGCATGCCAACGAAGACCTCGTAAAAAGATCAAAGTTTGAACGCATTCTCGTTTGGCAGGTGGAGACTTGCGGCGCTGCCAATGCGGAAAAACGCGGAAAAAGGGTATGTGGCTCTGATACATGAGATTGCGACTCGTTTCATCTCATTCCGCAATCACTTCGGTTCCAGCGATTCCCTCATACAGGTTGCCGGCCAATCTCCTCTCTCTCTCTCTCTCTCTCTTTCTCTGTGTGTGTGTGTGTGTGTGTGTGTGTGTGTGTGTGTGTGTGTGTGTGTGTGTGTCCGTTTGTATGGACATACAGTAGTCTGCGGTCAAAATCGACGGGCCACGTGCGCACACCACGACTCTCCCTTCTCCTTTTTTTGAGTGGACCATCATCCTAGCGCAATTCCGGATGTGTAGAGATTGCTGTCAATGCACCGCTACCAGTGATTGGACTCACAGAGCGAAGTTATAAAACGATATTACGAACGAATCCATATCTTACGAATTGGAACCTGGAACACCAGGAGATATTAGCAGGTCACGTTGGCAGCGACCCACCAGAGGTGAGAACCAATGGCTCCCAGGGAAGAGGCAGCGAAGGGGGGGGGCGCAGGTAGAGAGATGAGGGGAAAGCGGGGACGGGGGCGGGGCCGGTAGGGAAGGGTCGGAAACCCTAAATATGTACACGTCCATCTTTCGAAAGCCGCTTTCAGAGTCTACACACACCACGCCTCCATCGGTAAGAACCGGAAAAAGCAGCCACGGAAATTCTCCCGCCGGATAAAAGAAAGCGGCCACCTCGCTTACTGCCTTTCCTCTCTCTCTCTCTCTCTCTCTCTCTCTCTCTCTCTCTCTCTCTCTCTCTCTCTCTCTCTCTCTCTCTCTCGCTTACACACACACACACACACACACACACACAAAAGATGAAGACAGAGAGGTGGCGGAGGGGATGAACAAAGTCAGAGAGCTCCGTATAACTCGTACCTCGGGCTTGAATCGTGACTTCTTGGCTTCCTCTTGAGCATCTTCTTGACCACCTTCAGGATTGACGACATCCTCATATCCCATAAAACTGCAGCGACGGGAACATTGAAGCGAACAAGTCAGAATGCTGAGTGCCTACCGGTCAGGCTTTCCAATTCTCCCATCAGTCACACATTGCGACCCAATCAAAACGTTTTCACGACTGCCCCTCCCCCCCCCCCTCCCCCCGCGCTCCCGCTCCACAACCGGGTCATATTCTTCAACTCGACCCAATCAGGCCATGCAGTCTGTACATTAAAACGAAGTTGATTGGGTCCTCCACCCAACCAATGAACTTCACTGTGAGGCAATATTCTTCCTCTCAGGCCACGCAGTCAATACATCCAAACGACGTTGATTGGGTCCTCACCACCCAACCAATGAATTTAACTGTGAGGCAATGTTCTTCCTCTCCTTGTCTACCGTCGAAAAACCGTGATCATGGACTCTTCAAGCAACGGCCCTAAGACCTTCGTGAATTTTCTCCCCGCTTTTTCTCTTTTTTCGGTAGATTTCTACTACGCCGACACTCTCGGCTCTCTTCTATCCGCAGGCACCAGCACAGATCTGTGAAAACATATCTGCTAACCCCTCCGATGTACTTTATCGTCGTCGCTCTTCATTATTTGCATACGGATCTCATTCTCACGGATTCGATTCCACCACCACCACCGTAACTCGCAGCCTAAGCAAAATGGATGCATCCTTTACTTTCCATCGCCTTCATCATGTGCTTTATTTACTCACACGACGGACGCGATGGGCTTGATGAACCTGGTCCAGATCTGTCCCATTTTAATCATAAATGAACCTAACCCACGCTTGGAAAGTAGCGCGTGCCCCTCAAGAAGACACGTGGGTCCAACGCCGCGCTAAGGTTATTTACGCACACGACGGACGCGATGGGATTGATGAACCTGGTCCAGATCTGTCCCATTTTAATCCTAAATGAACATAACCCACGCTTGGAAAGTAGCGCGTGCCCCTCGAGAAGACACGTCGGTGCAAGGCCGCGCTAAGGTTGCGGTTCGGACGATCACACCCACACTTCGAAACGCAACCTTAGCGCGGCAGACACAGTATTTCTGCTGCGATTTGATCTCTACCCCAGCAGTTAAAATAATCTTATTATCTTACCACGACCTCAGGACAGTGCATCCTTAAGATTTCAAAAGAGAAAATCTTACCACGACCTCAGGACAGTGCATCCTTAAGATGTCAAAAGCCTGCCTCACACAAGCTAGAGAGTACACACTCCCACAGACTACTAGTAGTATCATACGATGAGCGCACATGCGCATACATAGATACACATCACCTCCTCCTCGCCTTTCCTCTCCTTTCCTGTCTACAATTCACGGGCCGGTTCTCTGTGACGTATTGTCCGTGTTTTCAACGTTTTGAATGTACATATACAGTAATGAGCCATACGGCAAATTGTGTATGTATGCATTCAAAGTAAAGGCAACAGAGTATGTACCAATACGTTTCTGCACGTAGATTTGTACGTATCCAGGCACGTCCAATCGAATTTATGCATACGCACGTATGAATGTGCGTATACATACGTACATTCGTATGCATGTGTCTACGTATGTAGGTATGTTGTTTGTATGTATGTATGTATGTATGTATGTATGTATGTATGTGTGTAGAAAAGAATTTTCGTCATTACGCTAATCGGAAGTATGTAGTATTCACACACACACACACACACACACACACACACACACACACACACACACACAGAAAAATGGGTTTCTCCCACATATCGCTACCTTATGTATCTGTTAGGGAGTATCCCATCATGTACAAATCAACGAATTACACATCGCGTATGTGATAAAGAGCTTCCCGTAAGTGAATTTCCGTCACGTTTCGGCACGCTGAATCACGCCGACAGCAAGAGGGTGTCGTTCGACTGTCGACAAACACAATGGTTTTCAGCGAAACGCTAAGTGTCACAAGGAGTGCCAGCTTCTCGCCCGCAAGATAGTACATTCAGACTTGGGCACTTTTTATTTGTCAGTCACTCAAAAACGAAAAAGTGCAGATAGAGATCAACGACGAAGACGAGGAGCACAAGCGTGTAAATGCCACCACCGATGGAACTTGCATGTTCGACGCGTGCCTTTCCACGTGCCAGATGCCGACAAATCTGGCACAAGTGGTGAAAGTTTCCACTCCCTTCCTTGCTTCAACAAATCCTTGTAGAAAACCCAATAACAAGTGGAATAACTTAAGGAGGCAAACTGACACAAGGGGGTAAAAACATATCCCTACCGCATATGCGCTGGCTATCAGTGACGTAAAAACACCGGCGGTCACTTTCAACTAAGTTTCTAGTTTTACTTCTAGCGTCCTGCGTACTCTCTTATTTCGGTGGGTGACGGCGTCGTGTGTGTGACAGTGTTCGACTGTGTGTCTGTGTGTGCGTATCTATGTAGGTGCTGGGGGCAAGGGGGGTTGGGGGTGCAGGAGGGGGAGGGGAGGAAGGAGGGGGGGTGGCCAGAAAGAGAGGATAAAATGAGAGGCGGAAAGAGGCCAGCGAGCGCCTTTTCCTTCGTCGGTGGCGGCGGATTTTCTGCATTGAGCTGGCCAGCCATCTTCGCCAGCTCAGTCTTTGTCGTGTGTGTGACTGTGTACGACTGTGTCTGTGTGTGCGTGTATATGTAAGTGCTGGGGACAAGGGGGGGTGGGGGTGCAGGAGGGGGAGGGGAGGAGGGAGGGGGTGTGGCCAGAAAGAGAGGAGAAGATGGGAGGCGGAGAAAGGCCAGCGAACGCCTTTTCCTTCGCCGGTGGCGACGGATTTTCTGCATTGAGCTGGCCAGCCATCTTCGCCACCTCAGTCTTTGGGTACGGTCGCGATTAGATAAAGCAAACAGGCTTCTTCGCAGTAATTCACATGAAATCGCCACTCCAATTGAGAAAGCCGGATTGAGTGGGATCTCATTGCACCTCCATCACCTATCTGAAATCGAAGCGGAGGGTGAAAGAGAGGCAAAGACACCCCTTTGGCATTGCAACCAATGAAAAGCATATCAGAATAAGGATGAGAAAAATCTGTACTGAGAGAGAGCTATCGAAGGAAGGGCAGCAGACTATACCCAATCCCGACATAGAATCGTCCCCCGATCATCCTTTTCGAGACTTAGTGAACCAAGAAAAAAGCAGACATCAGTGTATTTAAAGAAAACCTTCTTTTCGCGTTTGATTACATTTACCTGTTGATGGATTTAAAGATGCTTCCACCCCAGGATTGCAACGCCCCGAAGAGTCCGCCTCCTCCCCTCTCCGTCTCCGAAGATTTCGACTCCATCTCGCCCGATGGCGGAGTCTCCGCATCGACTTTGCCCGCCATATCCGCCAGCTCAGTCACTAGAGGTCCCAACCACGCCGATCGCACACTCCACTCTCACAGCCAAGCAGGCTGTGTCCAGATGGTTTGGCAACACGAACCGGTCAACAAGACGTGATCCACGCGTCAGTTCCTGGCGATGAACACGTGACAGACGATGACCGTCGTCTCGCCGGCGCATGCCTGCTGCGGCACCGGGCCGTCTGATCGCCTTCTCCCCGCACGATCCACGAGGGCGGACACGCGGACCAACCCCGCCCTCAGCTCTTCGGGGGCGTACGTTCCCAGGATTTCGGTCCACGACGCCCACGTCCGCCCCGACAGCGTTCGTCCACGACCGCGCGCGCACGCCACAGTGCGCACAGACGACCAGCGGCAGACAGACATACGGGAACCGCAAACGCCCACAGGCTGGCATGTGTCGGATGACGGCCCAGAGAAGAAGCCGGAGAACTGTCCAAATGCCGGCCCACATGTTTCCAGCCTCAGGAGGCAAGCTCGCACTAGAAAACTTCCACAACGCGCCCCCCCAAGTCCCCGCTCACGGAAAGACGGAGAATGGACACCCAGGTCGTTGGCACTGTGCTCCATGCTGACGCCAGGTTGTTGTCACCTGGCTGGATACCCGCAGCAATTTCCCTTCAGAGCTCGCACTAGGACTTTTCTCACGGCATACACTTCCGAGCATGCATCCTCGCACTGGGACTTTTCTCACGGCATACACTTCAGAGCATGCATCCTCGCACTAGGACTTTTCTCGCGGCATACTCACATGAGGACCTACACCTACTGGGCTACTGGTAGCTCTTACTTCGAGTAAAAGAAGAGTTGTCCTGCTATATGTAGAGATCCAGGCCTAGCACAATGAGCCTATAGTCTGTCCTGAAGGTAGGATCAGACCAACTTTCTCTATTGGTACCTGTTATGTTAGGCAATCTCATTCTTTCAGTTGCCCTGGCCGTGTGGTCGGGCCCATATTAATTCCTAGCCCTCTCTTCGGGGTCATTGGCGGGTGAACCGCCGGTTCCAACATTCTTGGTCTCAAGCTACTTAACTGACTATGTCGTTGTCTAAAGTGAGCGCCACAATGACACGCGCAATTCTTTCAGCCTTAGTGGTCGAGGGGTTGATTCATAGCGTAGAGCTAAAGGCGCCTTTACTTATTACCAGGATCCGGCTCCGTCGTGGCAGCCGAGATCGGTGCTGCAACAACATGGTCAAATACCCCTGTATTTGGTCCGACAACGGTGTGCATCTTCCCGTATTCTTATGGTAGAGCCGACTTATGCGGTGTACCTTTCCGTGTTCTAACGGATGCTTCATTCTCAATTTTGCTTATTTTGGTGAGTAGTGCAGCGGGCTGATGGGCCATACTAACTAGTCGCAGTGGGAGAGCGAGAGAAGGGGGGACAAAGACGCTTGTTGATCACAATGTACTGCCTGGCTAACCTCGGTATGAAATGAGAAGTTTGAGTGTGGGCATGTCTGTTGGGATCGAGAGGAAAGGCGTGGGTTTAAATAGTCTATATCTTCCCATGTCTTAGCACGACATACATTCCCTTTTCTGGGCAAAACGCTACTCAAGGAGATCATTTTCATGACGATGCACCTCCTCATCGTTGTACTTATCATTATCACCCCCATGCTCGCGCTCATCTACAAGAACGTCATGAAGATTGAGGTTCAGGTCGTCATCGAGATCAAGGTGCAGTTGTTGATCGTGTTCGTCGATTGGTCCACACTAAACCTAGGTCGTAGTGCCTTCGAGCGTCTACAAAGCGATCCCCGCCTCGATGATCACTGCTCGTCCTGATCGTGGTCTTCTTCCTGGGTTTAGTTTCACTCATGATCTTCATCCCTCGAGTTTTTAACGAGTCTGGGAGGGCGGGGAACCAAGTGCATCCATGTGGTTGAGGGTTGCGTCGTTGGTGAGTGCGAGAGCGAGATTGTTGTTGTTGATCATGGTCTTCGGTGAAAGGTTGGGTTGTTTCTTGCAGTTGCTTTCGCTATTCAGACGCCGTTTGTCCGTCGTGATAATCATGCTCTTCCAGTGTTGCATCTGGTCAGGTTCTAGCGAAAAATTCATCATCGATTTCCGCATGTACTTTTTCGAGTTCTAGTAGGAGCGATTTTCGCGTGTACTTTTTCAAGTTCTAGTAGGAGATTCACTCTCAAATTTGCACATTTGGTGAGAAGTGAGACGTGGCCATTACCATACCCCTTTGCTGTTATCAAGATTACCGTGATTACTGTGGTCGGGTTCTGCTTCTTATCTTCATCATCCTCCGGATCATGGGCCTAATCGTCGACAAACTGCATTTTGTGCTGATTGTGCTAATCTACGTCCTCACTATATGGGTCCACACTTGAATGTTGCTTCAGGGGTTCAAACTTAATCACAGTAACATGTCAAGCTCGTTTTTGTGACCGAGGACTTTGTACTTGCTGCATTCTGTGACATTAGTGCTTGGTTGTTCTTAGTTGGGAAACTCACCAGGTCCATACATAGAAGGATTGACAAATTGAGAGCTCTTTCTTGATTCTATGGGTGGTGGTGCATGATGGCTCGCAGGAGTATGTACCTCCCCATGGTCTGGCAGAAGCTTCACTCTCATTTCCATTGTGGAAGTTGAGTGTGACGTTGTACATATCAGTCGAACTACAACGTGATACATTTTCTTAGCCTGAACGTGAGTTCAATCTCATTTTGTACGCTTTGCAACTTACGTAAGATTGTTCCTACTGTGGGAGCAACTTCGTTTGTAGCCACCTTAGAGTTACTCCCAAGAATCTAGAGGTTGCAGTCAGGCTGTTACATTTTACCCTTGTCATGTTTTTTTTTTATTGCCACCGTATATCCTATTGTTGTGGACTTTGGGTTGATCATGCTAATGCTTTGTTAGCGTTTTAAACAACTGCTGATTCGGTACTTTATGTGTCTTTTCCGACGGTTGTAGTTTGAAAGAAACTACTGCTATAGTAACTCGAAAACTAGTGCTACAGTTACTCGGAAACTACAGCGATGCTATTGAGTTTCAGTCCTTATTGCTAACATCGGGTTGCGACGATGTAGGTGGTGGTGTTATATTTGCGACTGCGTTCTCCTTCAGATTGTTCCGATGACTGACATCTTTGCTATTGATTTGCTGCTACGCGAAGTTTCCTTTTTGAGTCAGTTGTGCGTAGCTGTGTTGGTTTTTTTTTGCGCCATTGTGCAATTTTTTTTTGCACATTGTGTCTTTGCTGTGTAGTGTTGCGTTTCGCCTAAAACAAAGAAGGGGGTGTTCTTTATTCAAACGCAGTCGTTCTATGTCAGGAGGTCGTGACACTGGGTTTTGGACGTGGTTTGACTGTTTTCGCTACATTTTTGCCCGCCATTACGAGACCCTCAGGCGATTGACGATTACAAGACCCTCTCAAGCGAGTCTGAGAGCACCTTTCTTGTATCTGAGAGACTCAAAAACCTCTATTTCTACCTTTCTTACTCAAAGTCTGGTCTGACTGGTTCGGAGAGAAAGACAGGAGGCGGGATTGCAACCCGTAATCCGTAGGAAGACCTTATGGGAGGTCTGCCTGCCGATTGCGGAAGCTCTGTCGGGGCTCAGGTGGGGTTCAGGGGGCAAAAAACATACATATATAAAAAGCGTTTAGGTGTGTGATCCTATCCCTTAAGTGTACTACCCTTTATCTGTCGGAAGGTATGACTGAGAAAGTTTATTACTTGTGTTTATTTCGAGACTTGATTTGAAAGGATAAATTAACTAAGTAGGTGTAAAAATTCAAGTTATTCGCATGAGTTCACATAGGATGAATCGGGGAAGGAGAGAGGACGATTGATTTTGCTTGTGATTGATCAGGTCAACCCAAGGTTGAGTCCATTCTGAGCATGTGGGATCAATATTTTGTTTCTTTTTTGTATGCTGGGTTGTTTGCTTAACTTTCATAGGTTGGAACGCTCCATAAGTTCGACGGTCTGTTCGCATGTTTTTCTTGGGGTTTCTGAATGGAGGATAGGGCCCATAAATTGGGTACTCAAAATCGTTGTTTTTTTTATTGTTTTGTCCAGTTCTATATTTATTTATGAGGGGGACGCATACAAAGGTTAATCACATCATAAGTTGGTGTGACCAAGTCATGAGTTGTGAACATAAATGAAACCATAATATAAAATATAATATGCCTCTTTATGTATTATATCATTGGCAGGCTAGACGACATAAGTTGGAAGATTTAACTATGTAAACTAGTAGAAGATCAAGCAGAAAATAAATAAGATTCAAAGTATAAAATCGAGAGGTAATCTTGGCAGACTGGACTCATCCATAAGTTGGATAGCCTGGTTCTATGCCCATGATAACACAAAAAGCAGAAAGATAATATAAAACTTAGTTATTTTTATAAACATAATTAAAACTTGGTTGCGGATCTCCATAAATTGGAGTGACTTGACCATTCATCTTAAGAGAGAGAAAATTATATTTGTTGAATGTAGTTCTATTGCGAAACTTGGACGGACCATAAGTTAAGGGTTGTTCGGTTATACGCACATGTTGTTTGTCTAAGCAGGCTGGATTACCCATAAGTTGGGTAGCTTGGTTCTACGCTATACGTCACTCTCTGGCCCGATTAACCACACCATAAGTTGGTGTGGTTTAGTTATATGCCCCTTGTTATTTATTCAGGTAGAGGATGAACACCTTATAAGTTGAGGAGGATCAATTATTTATGTATTTCGAATGTTTAGGATGATCGGCCTCACCATAAGTTGGTAGGGTTTGGTCATACGTTTTATGTCGATTGTCTAGGGAGAAACCAGTCACACCATAAGTTAGTGTGACATAGTCATATACCCTACGTTTACTTTGTCTACCCAGTTTGGGCATCATAAGTTGGTGTGGCCTTGTCATATAAATCGACAAGTTAGTCATACCCATAAGTTGGGTTGTCTGGTCCTATGCCTTATGTAAGAAATGGTAAAAGGGTAATGAGGAAAGACTTAAACGAACTATGTGATTTGGATGAGAAAAAAGTTAAACGAACTATGTGATTTGGATGAGAAAAACGTTAAACGACCTATGTGATCTAGAAAGAAATTTGAGGGTTCGTGAGGGATGTTAATGTGTTTATTTGTGTATGTCTTTGGGTTTATCATTTGGGGGGTTCTTTCGATAGTTTAGTCGCTTTAGATGCTCGATGAGTGTTGAAGCTATAGGCAAATAAGATGGAGGATGAGAGGGAAGTTTGGGATAAGTTAAAACTAGTGCTAGGTCATGATACTATTTTCAAGGAAGGATCGTATATGTTGTCTCCAACT